AGTATTGCAACCTGGCTGTCGATCGCCAGCACCGGGCCTACGAACTTGTCCGTGAGTACAACGCCCTGAAGATTTCGCGAATCGAACGCCGCATTTCATCCCTGCTGGACGCCACTCACAAGCTCCCTCAGTTTACCGTTGGCGGGTGGGCTTGGGTGTACAACACGGCTGCTACAGTTCGACAGGGCGTGCAGAAGGACACGGACCAACAGGTGCTCCAGGCCAAATTCGCACTTTCCTGGACGGGGCCCTACAACGCTCTTGCGGTGGGTCCCACTTCTGCCGACGCCACTCCGGACGGCCGCCCGTTGGCGCGTAAACTCCTCTACCTGCACCTGCCTTCCGATCTTTCCGGCNTCCCGCGACTCCCGCTTTCGGTCTTCGATCATCCCACGGTAGGTGGTCATAAAAGCTTGGCCCGCGATCAAGTCGAGTATTGCAACCTGGCTGTCGATCGCCAGCACCGGGCCTACGAACTTGTCCGTGAGTACAACGCCCTTCACTCCGCTCCTTGCTGACTCCTTACCGTCGGCTGTTCCCACCATTTGTTCTTAGCGTCGTCGTTTTCATATACCAATCGGCCTATTTTGGGCTTTTGGGCCATCCTTCTCGCCGACGTTTTGCTTTTTATTTTTTTCGGTCACCTTCAATTTTGTTTATTTTTTTTTGTTTTGTTTTTCTGTCTTGTCTCTTTTCTTTCGTTGGCTTATTTTTTGTTTTGGACGCTGGGGCAACGCCGCCTCAAGACACGCAGTGTCGAGTGATCCTTCTTCGTTGTTGCCCGCATTCATCTGAATCAGTGAACTGCCGCGAACTGGATGTCCGTTCTCTCTCGCCTTTGCTTACATGTTTTTTTTGTTGTTGATGGTCTTTGGTTCTCTCGACAAGCTCCCTCCGAAGTTTCGTCGGTGTTGTCTGCCTCTGAACACTTGGAAAAAGAGTTCCCCAAGTTTCGTCGGTGATGTTTGCCTCGAGACACTTGGACACCGAGTTCTCCGCGTTTTCCTGGTTCGCCTGTTTGCCAACTAATGTTGCCTTAAATGTTTTTGTTTTAGTTCCATCGTGCCGCAGAAGATTGCATACGCTTGGTGCTCCGGGATTCCATCCCGTGGCGTCGCCTTCCCCCATGGATTTTCGCCGTCACCCACACTTAGTTCTGCTTCGTCTCCATCATCGCCACCTTCGGGCGACGCCTTCATCACAGTAGCGCCCCTGAGTCGTCGTCTCGTTGTGTGTATCTCTACGACTTTTCTGTGTTCTATGTCTTTGAATGATGATGCGTATCGCCAGCGAGCCATGGCGCAGTTCGTCGACCGCCTCTCTTGCCTTAATCGCTGGTGCTTTGCATCCTTAGTCCTCATATATGAGGTCTTGCCCCTGCCGTCTCCTTATACGAGTTGGGTACCCTGGCACGCTGGCAATCGTTCTCCGTACCTTTGCCGGTCGTTCTTTTCTCCTGCCCTTCGTTGGCGTCCTACATTGCGTTGAGTTTTCCCTTTGCGTCGCATCCAGTATAAAAGGCCGTAATCGTTCGAAAATTTGCTTGGGTTTTGAGTTTCGTGACCGTATTTTGGACTCTCTCGGGTAGTCACCCTCATTCCTCCAGCGGTGATACACGCGGGTGCGCGTAAAAGAGTGGTGTGTGGCGTCTGGACATTGATTTTTTTCCCCTGTCGTCATCTGTTCAGGATGATAGCGTGCTCTGCCGCAATATATATATTCTTCGTAGCTTTATCCCTTCAAGCGTTGTCATTGAGATGTCGATGTTCCGTCTCGTGACCGTTCGCATTCTTCATCTCAATGATGGTATGGGGGACTGATTCGGGATATTTCTACAACTCACCCTCCTTTTGGATGTTTTGTGAAGAGTCATATCTTCGATTCATGATCATAAGTCATCAGCTAAATCTTACTGTAGCTTAAGGATTTGAGCATTGATTTGAGTATAGAACCTGCATATATGATATTCAGGGTGGGCTAGTGTTAAGGAGTGTGGCTGCTAGCATGAAAAGGGTACATCTTATTGTTGATAGGATGCGGGTCGGTCAGGAGGTATACCCTTCTGACCCCTACCCCCTTAGAATTGTCTACCCTGTGTACCCCCTGAGATGAAGTTGGATCCCCACTTCATCTCAGACCTTTGCTGATCGTCTCTCAGCAATAACAAGCAACTTTCCCATCTCAACGTGGTCGTGGACAACCGTGTCAACGACAGAACCTTCATCTATCTCTAGGAGCAAGCTACCGCACATGGCATCACTCCTTGAAACAAGCTCCTCTCCTGCCAACGATATATCCAAACGAAACGATCGGAGTGTGTGCCCTCTGCCTTGACTACTGAGGACACAACACTTAGATGTTTGCGTTCATTTGGAGCACGAAAGACAGTTTTAAGGGGCACTACTGTGGTCAAGGATAGGGGGCGAGAACAGCCGGGCTGAGTGATCCCCTAAATTACCTAAATTACAAAAGAACAACGAGGCTAGACTAGAATGCATTTATTTACCGAAAGTAGCCAGCAGTGAAGTGACTACCGGAGAATTGCTTTTGGACACGAGATCGGTGACCTATCTACCTCGAAGTCCACATGTTTTGGTGCTTCGGGCATTCTACAGGTTACCGAAGGGTATACTACTGCAACAATCCGTAACAACACTGGACGAATACGATATACAGCGTACAACACCGGCGCACCAAGCGGGCCGTGACCGGGTTTGAACTGTCAATAAAACAACCTTCACAACAACAACACAACACCAGCAGCAGTACCATGTCGTAGACGGCCCAGAGGTATGCATGAAAAGGCTGACTTCGTTTTTTCATCCACCCATCACCCGTCCCATGACTCAGGATAATACGCCTGATCATTCGATACACTCCCAGCTGCAGCAGCAGGAACGAACACGATCTCCCGGAAACGCATCGACGGCGTACGTGTAGCTACCGCTGTTGGTTGTTACAGCAGTCATGCCCACCAAAAAGCGACAGCGGGCCTACAGTATCATCCCAGGGAATACCTCTCGCTGTCTCGAGGACCGCCGTGACGGTAGTAAAACAAGTGAAACTACAGCTGTCACGGTGGCAACGTGGTTGCGTATCACCGCTATACAGAGAGGAGTATCTCGTTCGTTGTTGACGCGATTCAGATCAATCCCCTTCTGGACCAATGCCAACACCACCTCGTCTAGACCGTGCCAAGCAGCGAGGTGGACGGGAAAATCACCGTTCGATCCTGCCTGCATAGACTAGGATTGGCGCAACAGGTTCTTCGCTATTCCAACATGTGACTCCTTAATCGCGATGTGCAGCGGGCCGTCATTCTTGACATCGAGCACGTTCATATCCGCCCCAGCCATGATTAGCGCCTCTGCGGCAGCCTCATTCCCGCCGACAACCGCCAGATCCAGAGGTGTATGTCCGGTGTCGAGGGTTTTCGCTTTCATGTCTCCTCCTGCCCCTGCCCTGCGCAATCTGTGATGCCTTGCACGTTGCCGCCCTCAGCCGCCGCATGCAGTAGCGTCTTGCCATGACAACCCCGCCAGGCGGCACCGCCGTTGGCCCGGCTCCCAGCAGCTTATCTACCAGATTGCGGGTACCGGTTCCTACCGTATGCTCCAGTGGAGCTCTCAGCCACTCGGCCCACTGCTCGGGTGTGGCCCAATCGCACACCAGTTTGAATATCGTGTCTCCTCGATCCTGCATGATGCTCGCACGCTCTTCGTAACCAGGCATGATAGACGATGTGTGTCTCTCTTCTGAGTTCAAGAAGGTCCTCTGGGCGAGATAAATATCGTGGGAGATGCCAATCCAGCCACGTATCTCTGTGGTGTGCACGTTAGGAAGCGGAGTACTGCTGTACCGTGACCTCGATGCTACATGTAGATGTGCGCCAGACAGGGTGGCACGCAGATGGGAAGGTTCCATGTGACTACAGTAGTATACGTATGTTTTATAGAACCAGTTTCGATTCACGGAGCCATCAGCGCGCCTACCGCTACCAGCTGCTCATTGCTGTCCTTTGTGCTTTTCTCGCGCGCTCAACACTGCTGTACCCGCTACGCCGCCCGTGCATTGGGACCCGACGTTGTGGGATTGTGTTCACTTTTGTAAGAGGTGACGAAATGGAAGTGGAGACCGGAATCGATGGGGATATCAGCAATGCTCAGAAGCAGCTTGGCGGCCGGGTGACCGCCACCTACAGAAAGATCTCCAAGACGGCCGGTTCGAGACCGCGAATGATTAGCGACGCCGTTCGTCATGATTTAATGGATGGAATCGGGCATTTCATCTCACAGGTGTGTTCAATTTAGTTGGAAGAGTGTGAACAAAAGAAATACCAGGTACATCACGAAATTCTATACAAGCCATTGCCATGTATCAGACCGCGTGTGCCACCTCATGAGGTTCGCGCGGTTCGCGCGATTGCAGCTTCAAGGGCGCCAGGATATGGTACCAGAGTGTGAGCTTGGCGTTCCTTCCCTCGCTTCACAGACCTCAACCTAGATTGAACGATTCTGCTCAACAACGGAGCTGCAGAGGTTGCGTTTCCAAAATGTCGTTTCACCCGATACTACAGCAGTATCCTGCATGGCCCCATTCTACAGATAGAATGCGATCATGTATTCCCGTTACCCTGAGTATGTAGCGTCGATCCCTCCCTCCCTCACAGACATGAACCGTTTTTGCGTGTATTCATTGGTCAGCCGATTGGTACAGCAGTCGATTTTCTCTCCAAAGGAAAAGTGTGGAAAATCACAAGAACGCTGCTGCCTTTCTTTGCAAACTTGTCTGCGTGCTGACCGTCGCCGACAGGGTAGCATGAGCTTCTCGAGTTTCCGCGACGTGTGGCAGAGCCGGAAGCTGTCCGTCCTGCACTTCGCGGTGCCCAGAAGGGTCAACGAGAGCGCTTTGCTCCAGCTGTCCTTCTCGGTGGCCCTCGACCTTCTTATGAAGGACGACGAACACAACGCGGTGGAGGACGAGATGGACCCGGATGGCGAAGAGGATGAGGATGATGAGGAGGAGGAGGAGGAGGAGGGGGGCGGCAGGGCCATGCAGCCTCCTCACCGCAAGAGAGCCGCGGCCGGCGGCCGCGGCCGCGGTCGGGGTGGCCGGAGCAACACCGATGCCCGGGGCGGCGGCGACACGCAGCAAGCGGCCGCGAAAGCCCGTGCTGGAAGCGGTCGGGGCCACGGCGGTGACGCAGCAAACGGCAGTGGCGGTCCTAGCAGCAGTGGCGACGGTAGCGGTGCCGCGTCGTCTCCTACTGCCACGCCGGTTGATCCACCACCGACCCTGCCGGCCCTCGAGACCGGGCCGGGGTCCCTCCCGTTCCAGATCGGCGCCCTGTATGCGCTGTACTGCCTTCACGGGACTCAGCTGTTCAGCTCCGCCCCGATGCCCATCCGGGTGTCGTCGGAGGCCATGCTGGCGCTGTCGCGCCTCCGGTGGCGTCTAAAGGCGGCTGGCCCGCAAGCTCTGGACGCCCTGGCCGTGCTCTCGCGCCTTGTTCTTGGCGATGGTTGTAACCCCGGCGGTGGCGATGGCGTTGGCGATGGTGGTGGGGGCGGCGGCGACGGCGGCGGTGGTGGTGGTCGCGGGGCCGGCACGAGAGGTGGCAGTGCGCTGCAGGCCGCCGCGTACACGGGGCCGTGTTCCCTCGCGTTCGTGGAGTCCAACATCTCGACCACCTCGATGACATCGAAAGCGCAAGCTCAGGAGGTGGAGACCAAATCGAGAGAGGTGGAAGCGGCCATGGCAAAGGAGGCAAGGGCGGCGGCGAGGGCGAGAACGGCCCTTGAGGGGGAAATGTCCACGGGGACCCCACCCTCGGGAGCCGCGCAGACGTCGAGCTGGGGGCCGAGGGCGAGGGTGGAAGCAGCGGTCGAGGCTGTTTCCGAGCAGATCAAGGGTTTGTCGTCAACATACAGGGAGTACGCCGCCGCTCTAGCAGAGGCACGTGTCCCGACCATTACCACCGCCGGCACGTCCCCCGCCGATGACGACGACAGCAGTGACGACAACGGCAGCACCATGGACGACGCAGGTAACAGCAACACCGTTGGAGGTCATACGGCGGGACGGAGCGAGTGGTTTGGGCGAGACCTCGAGGCCATCCTCGATCGCACCCGGCGGAAAAAGCCGTTTCTCGATCCGCACGGGCTGAAGGAGCTCGCCCTGCATCCGCCGCCGCCGCCGCCACCGCCGCCGCCGCCGCCGCATCTAGAAGCGGATTGTGCCACATCGGAGTCACCATCTCACCCGCCCGCGTTCAGAGCGTTGCCTTTGCCGGTGCTCCCAGAGACCCTGCACAAATTAGGGTGGCGTGTCGGGAAGACGGCCAGAACGTCAGTGGTAAGCGCAAAGGAGGAAGCGCGGTCAAGCATGAAGGCGCGCTCGAAAGCGAAACGGAACGGTGGTGTTGGCGGCGGCGGCGGCGGCGGCGGCGGCGGCGGCGGCGGCGGTAAGAAGAAGGCCTCTCAGGGCTCGATGGTCGCGTCCGGCGTACGTGACAACATTAGGCTCCTTCAGATGGAGCTGAATGCCGGGACAGACGAGGAGAGTGACGACAGCAGCAGCAACAGCAGCAGTGGAGAAAGGGAACCTGCGAGGGAGGGGGGTGTGGGGTCAGGGCAGGAGGGAGAAGAAGTAGACGAGTGCATGAGCGATGAAAACTACGGGTTGCCCTCAGGAGTACAGTCGAGAGTAACGACCGGGAGGGGGCCCCCCCGTGGCGGTGCTGGTTCCGCTAAGTGCGCGACGTTTGGGCTCCCCTCCGCTCCCGGGGTTCCACGGTCGGCGGCGGAGAAAAAGGTACCAACACGCGCTCGAAAGCGCGTCGACATTGGCAGCAGCAGCAGCAGCAGCAGTAGCGACAGCGACAGCGGTAGCGGTAGTAGTGGGGGCGAAGATGAAGAGGGAAGCAGCAAGGCCGAGGTGTCAGACGGTGGTGAGGACAACCTTAGGGACAGCAGCGATGGTGGTGGCGGTGGCGTTCCCGACGCGGCGTCACGCCGCGGGCTCTCCTCCACACCCCGAGCGCCACGCCACGGCCGCAGTCACCTGAGCAGCAGGAGGCCGCAAGCTTCCGCCCCCCGACAGCCGGGGGCGGAGGAGCAAGTTCAAGAAGAGGTAGTTGTAGAAGACCGCGGTCGTGGGCGTCCCTGTAAGCATCCCGTGGTGAAAGGACCGGCTAGTGGTGGCAGCGGTCGATCACGCGGTGGGACTGGAGCGGGAGCGGGGGGGCGGGGGCGCGGTGGCGACGGCGGCAGAGGACGGGGGCGAGGCAAAGGCAGGGAGGGCAGGGAGGAGGAGGAGGAGGAGGAGAAGGATGTATCGCCGCGTGGGAGAAAGCGTCCGGCGGACAGCATCTCGGACGCTAAGGCGGGCGCTAGGAAGGGAAAGAAAATCGCACAAGGAACGGGGTGGCAGCCCTCCTCCCACGGCGAGGGTACGAGGACCGCTACCGCCTCCGCCGAGCTCGAAACCAGCGCCGCGGCCACAACGACAACACCGCCGGCAGCTGTGGGCGCCGCTGCAAAGAACAGAGAGACAGCGGGGACGGGTACCTCACCCTTGCCAGGCGACGCCAGCTCGTCATCATCAGGACGTTCACACCTTCGTGTATCGTCTGGTCGCAATGATCCCGCTCCCGGTTCTCCCCCCGGTGAACTCTCCAAGGCAAGTGCGGCCGGTACCCGACCCTCCTCGTCGGTTCCTGAGGCGTCGGCAGCGGCGTCGCCGTTGGCGGCGGGCGGCGCGGCGGGGGGGGGTGGAGCAAGAGCAAGCGCGGCCACCGCTGGCGGTGGGGGGGGAGGGTTCGATGCGACCGCGAGCATGGACGCGGGCGTCGGTGATACCAGCAGCGATTGGAGCTCGGACGATGACGCTTCCGCTGGAGCAGGAGGCCCCGGCCGGAATGTGAGAGACGTATCGATGTATGCACACAACCCGCGAAAGCACATGCGGTGTGAATCCCACCATGAACGGCGCGTCAGGTTCACCAGACGCGCGCACGATGTACCGTGTACGCGACCTGCTGTTGCCGAAACATGACGCATGTACTGGCCAGCGACCTCCGTAAAAAAGTCTTGCTCCGCTGCTATTGTTTTTCCTCTTAGTTTGGTTCAGCCAGGCTTGATTTCTTTCCCCTGGGTTTGGATGATTGACTCTTTCTGCACCATGCCATTTTGTGGTTCGGCAGGACATTACCGGAGGGTCTGGCAACACCGCCGGGAGCCGTACAGCTCCTCCTCCTCCTTGCCCCGCTCGTACCCCTGGTGGTGCGACTCGCGCATCTGCCGCTAACGCTGCAGTTGGGGATGGTGCCTCCTCCTCTGCTTCGTCGAGCAGAACCGAAGCTGAAGTACCAGCCGTCTCTAGTGCGTCTGCCGCTGCCGAGACCAACAGCGGTGCGGCGGGGGGACAGGAGATGGGCGAAACTTCTAGCGACAGTGATGACGGCTAAGTGCGGGGGAACATATATTCGCGCGCCTGTGTGGGAATTTTCGCCGCCGGGCTAGCTCCACAACCGGCTGGTCCGCTCTCCCTCGGAGTATGACAGCCCGTGTCTCTTGAGTGGGTCCTTTCTTTTGAAAGCATATCAGCAATTGTTTGCCGGTATGCCCTTGGGTACACAGTCCATCTGGAACCGTTAATTAAAGAGGGAGGGCATGGGGGGGGCGGAGGGAACCCGGGCTCGGGCAGGCGTCGGTCGGATGGAGTTACAGTAGTTGTGATTGTTTGGTGCGCCTTGCGAGAGATAGACTACAGGTCTGTAGAACGGTTGACTGTCAGTCAGTCGCGGACTTGTTCTTGGAGAGGGCTCATCATTTCAAAAGATGAAATCCCCTGCCTTGATGGGTTGTGAGGTTATTGGAAAAGAGCACATGGTGTGGCTTATCGACTCCTCCCCTGAGAGATATGATTGGCCGCGTGTCGGTGTTCGAGCGCACGGGAGTGTCGAAGGCCACACGCACGTTGTATGCCGTAGTCGTTAGACCATTCACCTCGCATCCCTACAAAGCCGGGACGGAGCA